AATAAATAATATATATAATATTATTATTAAAGATGAGAGTAATACTTAAGATAAAGATAGAATTATTACTTAAAAAGACTATTATAATAACGTTAGTTTAATAATAATAATTACTTTTAAATTAATTTAAAGTTACTTATAATAAGACTCTAATTTAATTTAATAAATATTAAATCTTATAAAAGTAACTTAATATCTTAAGTAATTAACGTATTATTATTATAAATATTATAAGAAAATTTATAATATATAAGAAAAATATATTCTTACTATTTAAGAATCTAATTTTAAGAAGTTAAAAAAGCTAGTATAAGTTTAATTTAAACTCTTTTATAGTCTCTTTAATATAATAAAAATAATCTTTTATAAAAGAGTTTAATAAGATCTATATCTTATAAATATAATTAAAGAAGATTAATTTAAGAAGATTAATTAAAGAAGATTTAAATATCGTAAAGAGATTAAGATAAATAAATAAATAGAGAGATATATATAAAAAATAGATAAAGAAATAAATAGAGAGATAAATAGAGAAATAAAGATTAAGATTATCTTCGTAATCTTACGTAAATCGCTATAATAGAAAATAATAAATTAAATAACGAATAGAATTTTTTTATTTTTTTATAAAATATATAATAAATTAAAACTTAATTATCTTTTTAATATATTATTACTTAATTATATATTAGATAGCGAATTAAATTATAATAATATTAGAAAAAAGTTATCTTTAATTATAATTATCTTTTTAATTATTAATTCTATTAAATATATAATATAATTCTAAATTCTATAAAATATTCTAGAAATAATTTATAAATTTCTTATATCTTTAAAATATTCTAAAAAAACTCTATTAAAATCTTATATTATTTTAAGACGTAATTAATTATAAATTAAAAAGATAATATATCTAAGTATAAATCTTAATATTATACGTAGATTTAACTTATTTCTAGAAAAATATAAGAAATTTCATATTTATAAATTAAAATATAAATTTTAGTTACGTATTTTAAGTAGAAATAGTTTTTTAGAAATACGTTAATAAACGCGTATACTTATAAATTATAATATATATATACTTAAAGTTACTTCTAAATATATCTATATTAATATAGATTTTTATATATTCTTCTTTATTCTTCTTTATTATTAGAATTAATATAGAGTTAATTAATATATATAATAGAATACTATAGAGCTAAGCTTAAAAATCTTAAATTTATATATATAATTAATTATAAATTCGAGTTCGCTACGCTCTTTAATTAGATCGACTAAGTTATCGCGAATAAATAAATTAATATTCGTAATTATTAAAATCTCGCCCTTTCGCGCCTCTCTTATTAAAAAAATAGATATATATTATTAATATATAGAATAACTTTTTTATTTTCTATTAAAATTTTTTTTTTTTTTTTAATTATAGAACGAAATGTGGGCTTTTAGATAAAAAAAGAATTTTCAAATTTAGTCTTATAATTATTAAAGCGCAAGGAATTCAAATATCGCTTATCAAAGTTCGCTCGACAGCCGAATAGCCCGCTTATCAAAGTTCGCTTATTAAAGATCGCTTATCTATTTACTCGATAGCTCTAATTAAAAAAAAAATTATAAATTTAATTTATAGGCCTTTACTCGTAATTATATAAATATATTAAATTAAGATAATTAAGTAAGAAGTAATTATATATAAGAGAGAGAGAGCTTATATAAAATAAGAAGTCTCTCGCTAAATACGCTAGACTATAAAAAAACTAGTTTATAAAAAAGAATATATTAAAGAATATATAATATTAAGAGAATATAAACTTATTATATTAAAGAATATATAAATTTAAAATAAGCTTATAACATTTATTATTAATTAATTAATTCTCTTTTCTTTTAATAAGACTTCTATTATAACGAAAGACTTAAATAAACTTAATATTCTTAATATCTTAAAGTTAAACTAATCTCGAATATTAGCGTACTATAATCTACTTAATTATTTACGTTAATTATATACTTTAAAAACTTATATATATATATAAATTTATTAATATAAGAAGTTTAATATTAATTAACTATAACTATAATCGCGTAATACTCGAATTTTAGTACTAGTTTTATAAATTCTTTAAAAGTCTATATTAACGTTATTAAATTCTTAAGAAATAATCTTAAAAAGTAATATATTCGATAGAAAAGATATAAAGTTATTATTTTATATTAAAAAATAAATTATAATAATAGAGAATTAAATTATAATTATATCGCGTAACGACGTAAGTAGATATTAATAATTAGAAAATATAATTTAGAAATCTATATAGACTATAAACGAAAATAATATAAATTTAATAAGATTATATAACTTTACGCTTAAATCTATTATCGTTAAGTTACGAAGTTAATAAACTAATTTAAAGAAATTTAATAAGATATTAATAAAGTTAAGAGATTAAGATAATATAAAAAATATTAAATATAATAAAGACTACGTCGAGAATATATCTTTTACTCGTAATTAAATATATTATTTTATTCTAAGTTTAAACGTATTCTATTTTACTATCGCTTAGATATTAAAAAATATTAAAAATAAAATAGCTTAACGCTAAAACTTAGAGTTAAGAAACTAGTTAATAGAGATATAAATACGACTAAGAACTAAGATAAATAGATTTACTCGTATAATTTAGAAATAAGTTTCTACGCTAAAATTTAGCGTCTTAATAGAGTCTCCTCGTAAATATCTATATTTATTTTATTATTTACTCTATTATATTTAGTTATATTATATATTTAATAGCTTTATATAATATTAAAATTAGTTTAAAGCTTAAAGTAACTATAGCTATTTATAGATTATTATATTATAAAAGTTTTAATATTATTAAGCGAAGAACGAAGATAAATAAGAGATTTACTTTTATTTTAATATTAAGAGTAATTAATAGAGTCGAAAATAAGAACTTTTATAATATTTTAATATATCTAAAGAGTCTTAATCGCTTTAAAGAATCGACTCGAATAGAAGATTAATTAGATCTCTTAAAAATAGTATATTAGACTATTTTAAAGCACTTTAAATTATATCGTAAATATGCTATTTAATAAAAAAAAATCGATATTTTAGAGACTTATAAAAAGCGAAAATAAGATAAAGATAAATTATAATTATTAATCTCTTAATCGCTTCTTTTATAAGTAACTCTTAAATATATATATTAAATAAATAATAATTATATTATAAAAAGAATTAAGCGAAAAATTAAGTTAAAAAAGTCGTATTTTAATTATTTCGAAGAATATAAACGAGATAATCTCTATATTTAAATTCTTAAAGAATTAAATAAGAGATTTATCTTTATTATTAATAATAAATATTATTATAAGATTTAAAATAATAGATATAAACTATAACGTATTTTAATAGAGAAGAGAAAATTAATCGAGATTATACTTATAGTAATAGTTAATACTTTAATATAATTTATATAAATATACTAGATCTTATACTCTATTAAGTTTAATATTAATATATAATATTATTAGCTAGTACGAATAATAATTAAAAGATATAAATGAAAAATCGAGATTATATTAAAGAATTATAAATAAAAGAAAGTAATAAAGAAAAAAAGATGTCTTATAGAAATTTCTAGAATTTTTAAGTATACTCTTATAGAGATAAGTTCTAACGCTATCTTTTATTAAGAAATTACTAATAAATATTAAAATAAGAATTAATAGATTACTCTTTATAATCGTCTTCTTAGAGAGAATAGCGAAAGAAAAAATAATAAGAGTATAAAAAGACTATATATTGCGAAATAGATCTTTAAGTATATATCTTCTTTAATATTTAAAAAATTATAGAATTAACGATAAATAGTATAGAGATTATATTCTATTAATCTATTTATATAAATATATAGAGAAAGTTATAATATAAAATCTTAATAAGAATATATAGATAATTAAGAATAATACTTTTATTTATATTAAAGTAATTAAACTCTATTAAAAAGAATAAAAAAGATATAGTATTAAGAAGATTAATTAAATCTCTAAATTTATTAAATTTATATTAGATTAAATTATTATAAAATCTCTTAAAGAATAATTTATAATTACGTTAACGTTTAATTAAGAGAATAAATAAGATAATTAAAGATAGAGTTAGAAAAGAGCTAAAAGCTAAGTAAAATTCTATTATAAATTAATAGCGAAATAAATAAATTATAGCCCGCTAATAAGATAAATTAAAGCTTTATTATAAGTTAAAAGATAATAATAAATTTAGAGAATAGATATATCTTCTTTAGAGTATTTTCTACTAATATTCTTCTACTTAAAATTCTTTATTCTAAAAATATATTTTATTATAATTTTATTATACTTTAAATAATATTCTAATATATTCTTCTCTTAATTATAATTTATTTAATTTAAAAAAATTATTTTATTATTATTAAGTATAGTAACTTCGATAATAGATATCTAAGAGATATTAATCTATTAAAGAGCGAATATAATATTATTATATAATTTAAAACGACGATAATTAATTAGAAAGTTATTTAGAATTTCTAATTAATTAATTAAGTAGTTTAAATATTTATAAATTACTTATATATAAATATAGCTATTATTATTATTATATTCTCGATATCTTAATATTTAATAAGAGAGTATATCTTAGTAATAGCCTCTCTCTCTATAAAATAAGGCTTATTTTAGTGCGATTTTGCGGAGAACTGAGTAACTTAATTGGCTGACTTCCCGGCGCTATTTTAGCGTAGGAACTCATTCCTGGATTGCACGAGTAGGAGCCAGCAGTAGCCGGGTAAACCTCGGAAAACGGTGACTTCTGACACCGCCGAGCTCTGTGAACTTCACCATCGCTCATCTTCTTTCTTCTTCCATACCACTCTGATTCTTATTTCCTTACTCACAGCAATTGCCGATTTCTTAATGAATCCACCGCTATACCGTCCAGAGGTATGGGTAATGACTACATGACTGATACCGCAGGGCCATCGTGGTCCTTGACCAAAGACACTTTGCTTCAACATGTGAGAATTTGCTCTGTGCACCTCTGCTCATGATACTTGACATGCCTTTAATCTGAGACAGTCTATCTTCACCCATCAGATCCCTTCTCAGTCTACGCCACTGAACCAGCCTTCGACCTCAACCCCACCTCACGACCCTCCTTCGCGCTCTCCCTCCCCCCTCGATCTCTCTCCTCGAAGACCCGAGGGAGTCGACATCGCTGACGCCTCATTCACACCTCTTACACCAGTCGATCCTGATAGCTTTCAAGACTTCGACTTGTCGGATTGGCACTCAGAGTGCCTCAGACCTGACTCACAATCACTTTGCTCAGAAACCGCTTCCTTTGCGATGAACGTCTCAACTGTTCGTGCGAACCTTAAATCGAGAGGCTTCTACTACGATGACGAAGATGCATTAGCAAGAGGTGGACAAGCAATTAAAGACAAGGCACGTGAGATTATTACATCGCAGAGGAATTCACCAACGTCAAGTGACAACGCACTATTGCTGAAGGCAGCCATTCGCAAATACTGTGGCTCTACGGAAAGAACGCTTGTGTTCAATGTCTGGTGCATCCTACGACAGCAAAAGCTCCGTGACATTACTGAGAAGCCGCTTTCGCCACAGGGAGAAGACAATGCATTGGCATGGGTGAAACGAGCCTGGAGCATGGATTTCCTTGACTGCGTCTTCGAAGCCGACCTTAACAAAGATATGATACCCGACACTTCACATACGGTAAGGTCATTCTTCAAGAAGGCTGCAATGATCTCTGACTTCGCGATCTTTCTAGGGCAGCAAAACCACGGACATCATGTTTAAAGATCTACCTCGCATAGAACAACCCCGCCCTGATGTCACGTACGGCTTGTGGAAAGCAGACATCGATTCACCCTGTCGTGGTATCCTCGACACCTACCACTGTGAGCTTGCGAAGGATGTCGAGTTGCCCTGGTTTCTAGTGGAAGTCAAAACGCTGAACGCGGTGGTCGGAGAAGCGGAGAATCAATGTATCCGTGGGGGTGCAGTGCTAGTCAACGGGCATCATCAGTGGAACCGAGTCGCGGACGGCGGAAAGCATTCCCTGGATCTGAGTAAGAAGGAGAAGGAAGAGGAGCACGATAGGCTCATCGCGAAAAGGGAGAAAGCCGGGACTGTATGTATCCTTGCCCCATGTTCACAAGTCTGCGTTCGATGGGCTCGAATGTTCATCTACGAGTGCCTTGTTGATATTCGTGACAGGCTTACGATAAACTACAAAGTACCGCGGATTCCGCAACGCTTGCCTTCTCTCTCGCCTTTTCCCCATCAACCGCAACGATGCATGTGCACTGGCGGGAGGAATGGGAGAACGGGGTGGAGCACTGGCACGCCCACACGATACAGACCTATGCGATGCGGACTGAGCATAGGGATTACGAACAGCTCGGCATGCATATGACGAACATCATGGATTGGGGGTGCAGGACGCGTCGGATGGAGATTGAAAAGCAGGCAAAGGTCATTGCAAAGCGCAAGTACCCGGGTATTGACGAGAATGAGGTCTGCTTCGCGCCCAATAAGCGGCAGAAATCGGGCTAAGGAGGCCTTTGTGAAAATCAGTGGCGGTGATCCTTGTCTTTAGCAAGCGAATCAGATTAGCACCTCATTGACTCGTGAGACGAGAGCTTTTAGATAGATTATACGGCATAGCAACGGGTGCTTTCTGTGAGCTAGCGGAACTTTACAAAGCCTCTTCACTGTTCATGCGAGGCTTTCTCAACATCGTGACAAATGTTCATTGATTAGATGGCATGACCTTTGTACTTGTTTTGTCTTGTATAAGAGTCTACCTCTATCTTAATCGCAAGACCTCTACGGCAAGAGAAATTCAGAGAAGACAGACCGGACATCGAAGATAAACCGACTAGCGCCATAGAACACATACAATATATCTACGACATAGATTGTCGGAACTAGACTCTTTCCATCAAAGTAATTCGACATTCCTTTATATCCGGTAGCACTACCCATGTTTATAAAATTAGTTGATGGGCCGACTATATCTAAATCAATAGCTTCCAGTAGGCTCAGAGAATGTTCAGGCTCTCCGCCAGGGAGGGAAGGGTCAGGTTTGGAAATGTAGTCGTTCTCGCAGACATCTCACATATTGTGCTTCACCGTCCCATCTCTTATGCGTAGCTCTACCTTATCCTGCGATTCAAGCATCAGAGGAGGATTGAGATTCCTACATAAATGCGCTGGCACCCTCCCATCCTCGCCTTCCTCCTTTTCAACCTCCCCAGGCCACCACCGACAACGCTCTGGTCGCATCTGAACCGTGTATTTCCCATCCACCAACCCATCCACGAACGCTCCGAGATCAATTTCCCTAAGATACGGCACCTCAGGATTCAACGTCACCACATCCGCAGCCTTTGGTCGTTTGTCAGTAATAGGATCTATTGACGGGCCTATACCGCGCTGTCCGTTGTTCTCCCGGACTACTTCCCCAGTCACAGAGTGAACAACCTGTAGACTGGACGTCGGCGGTGTATGGGCCGTGGCGTCGATTATTCTCATGCGGTTGTCGCAAGCGCCAGGTTCGGGTTGGAGGAGACCCCAGGGAATCAGGAAACGCTGGTGTCCTCGCGTCTGCACAGTGACGGCGTACGAACCATGATTGATGACAGAGACTTCCAAGGCGGTGCGACTGCTTGACCCAGCGTTGGCAGGTGCGGTATCAGAGGATGAGGAGGGTACGCAGAGACGTATTCTTGTCTCTACTGTTGGTGGCCAGGACAGGCTCTCCACGACCGCGAATTCCGCTTTACCGGCTCCAGGTTTGCTATTGACCAACTTGACTGGTTCAGAATCACAGCTTGGCTGCTCACCATTGTCGACGAACTTCTTTCCATCACTAGACGTCCACAGTATCACGCCGAGATCTTTGCTCGCCAGTGTTATAGCATACTTCTTTCCCGGCTTCAGAATCGATGCCAACGGACCATGCTCATGGATCTCATAGTGATATAGCGTGAAGTGCTTTCTGTAGGGTTCCTTCCTGTTGATCGGGGATGACAGGGAAAGGCAGTACGACTCTTTCGGAGCCACTTGGTTCAGTCGGCTAAGATCTACTGGCAACCACTGCTTAGCGTCTTGAGGATCTTGTTGTTTTATTTCAAGTAAGCCATTTGCCAGCGCATACGGGACATCCATTGCCGAGCCTGCAGTCTCGAAGAGTAATGGCCGAGGGTCCTTGTCTGAGCGACGACAGAGGCCGAATAGTATGCTGAAGGGGTGTCTACCCGAGGCGTCATAGACTTTGAAGTGACTTTGGATGATTGTGTGGATTCGCAACTCGCGCATCTTTGTAGCTGCAGATGTTCGTAGTGTGTAGGTGTAGGTGCTTGCTGCTGTTGTGAGTATAAGTGAATGTGAGTGTGAGTGTGAGTATGAGTGTGAGTGTGAGTGTGAGTGTGAGTGTGAGTGTGAGTGTGAGTGTGAGTGTGAGGCCAAGACCAAGTTAGGGCTTGCAATTGCAATCGCCCCGCCATTCCGAAGCTATTCCTTAATTGTGTGTGTGTGTGTGTGTAATTCCTACATCGGAGGGCCGTGCCCCTGTTCGTACCCCTTCCCATTGAAAGGCGTAGCCCAGAGTGCAACCGTTTTTACCCACTCGGCCTTACGGCCATGTTCGGCATCCGTACCCCATTTGAGGTACGGCAGATAATCGTGATCCCGTAAAACCACGGCTATGTACATTATGTTGAGGAATTCCAAATCCTCCATTGCAACCAGACACCATTACACTCTGCAATGTACCCCGAAGCTTTTTCCTCGTTTCTCAGGGCCGAGCTCTAGCCTCTCTGTTCCATGTACACTCAGACACCCAGTATTCCAATTCCTTGAGTAGTATAGTAGGCTTGGCCCAGGATGCTTAAGAATCCTCTTACATCCATAGAAACAATACTATCATTATTCTCTTCTACCGACATGGACAGCATGTGATCATTCTTATTTTGTAAGATAAGGTACAAGTACTTAAAGATCGGTAGGGCGGTTGTGCTAGCATCTTGACGCCGTTTTTACCCGCAATAATATCCCTTTCCTTATGGCCGGGACGTACACGCTAGTAGGGGTCAAATGTAGGGAGATGGATTGGTCAGATCGACGTTGCCGCGCTCACGAGTAAGCAAAGTCTTAAGCCGCAGTGAACCGCGATCATTGGACAAATGATAATCCCTACATTTGACCCCTGCTAGCGTGTACGTGCCGAACACAAGGAAGGGGATATCTTTATCTTCTCAGCGTAAACCTCAACGCAATTTCGAGCCGGAACCGCTCGATTCAGCCAATTTTCTCGGGGACTCATCACCGACGGCGACCCCGTGGCATGAGCATGGGGCCTATGTATACGGGATGCTTCCTGGAACATTGCGACAAAGTCGATTTTCAGCCCTCAAAGACCTGGAAGAGCTAAGCGCTGATTATGTGAGGGCTCGAGCCGATGTTGGCTCGGAACTAGGGTGGTGGTGGTGCTAATTGCCGCTCCGCTACTCCGTACGGAAGCCTGACACAAAAAGTCATCCCTAACTGAAGCTAAGTTCAGTGCCTACACCGGCTCAGAGATTGCTCCGGGCACTCTGCAGCCGGCACAAGCGCTCATCAGCCCAGGGTCCTTTTGAAATATCGACACTTCAAAACGCATATAAGGCTGCAGCCAAGCGATTCATGTACGTACGGTAAGGTCTAAAGGTTACTTGAAAGCGTTACGGCCGGAGCGCTCTTGACTGCATATAGATGTAGATATAGGCAGAACCAAGTCTTCAAAATCTTTCCGTTGCGAATCCTATCTACTATTGTCGCCATCTCCGACGCAGACGCAGACGCAGACGCAGACGCAGAAGCAGAAGCAGAAGCAGGAGCAGAAGCAGGTGAGTGCATCATTGCACATTCAGCTATCGGATACTTTAACATTGATGCAATAGAAAGTCTCGTAATCCGGGGGAATTGCCAAGACGGAGCGGTTCGGACTCGGCTGAAGCCACTCATGAACCTCCGAAATGCTATGCTATCCTACTCTAGTTTTATAACGGACAAGCGCCTTGTTCATTATGGTCTGTGGTCTTCTGGCTTGGTAGTGACGTCTTGCTAAGAAGCGTTTGAATGAAACTGCACTTTCCAGCTGTAAGGTCTCTTGTCTTGCATAGAAGAAGCGACTATATCCTTCGGCCGTAAGGTATGTTACCGTTTATACGAGGAGAGGTTGCCCTTTCCGGCTGTAAGGTCCGTTGCCCTGCGTATGAGAAGAGGCTATATTCTCAGACCGTAAGGCATCTTGCCTTGATGATTGCGGATCCCCAAAAGTTGGGGATCCTTCCTTCGGGGATCCGCAGTCAAGGCAATGAAGGAGGTCTTTTTCTTGTCCTTGAGAAGACTATCTGCAGGAAGTTTGACAGAGACTTGATATAAATAACAAGTCAATGCCCAACTCCAACTCAGCAGAAGCACGCCTCTCGCTCCCCTTATTCACGATTCCATCAATCTACCACCCAACTCTAGCAACAATACATCTTCTTCAACAATGTCTTTGTTGAATATCATCTCCCTTGCGCTTGTCGTAGCGTTGACTCGCGCTGGTCCTATCCTCAACAATCCATCCCGAGTCCTCCGCCGCGATGCACCCGCGCCTTCTGCCTACCCGCTTGACAGTGCTTGCGGCAATGAGTGGCAGTACCTGAACTTCAATACCACCGTTGCCACTGACAGGGTCCATCTCCAGACCCTTCACGATGTCATCTGCGGTGGCGAAATGCGCGCCATCTCCAGCTATGGCCAAATCTCGGCTCAGAACGTCAATACGCCCTACAAACGCTACTTCCCGGAAAGCGACGACGAAGATGACTACCCCACCAATGTCAAAGATGTCTTAGGTCTAATCGCAGGCGCGAGCAGCACCGACGGAGCTATCGGAACCGTTGTCGGAACGTTTGTTGTGGATAATCTTGGTAAGCTGCTTCAGCTCCGCTTTCCAATTTCCTCTGTTTTCGATTCTCTTTGGCAATCTCCTCTGACCCCTTCGATAGACTTTGCCGCGAACGTTCCAGGGGCGTCTGACTGCACCGTCGAGGGCACCCTGGCCTATACACTCGAGGACCAAGTCGACGACCTCGAGAAGATCCATTTCTGTGATCTCTCGTGGACCCGTGGAGAAGCTAGCGACGTCGACTGCGCCTCTTTGGACCCCTTTCCTAGCACGAAGATGGACTCCTTCTCGCGCATCGCGTTGCATGAAATGATGCACTACAGCTCCATTGGCCCTAATACGCCTGTGGGGGAGACTATCGGAGACTGTAAAAACGGAGATTCGGAGCCGGCGAACGATCCTCCGCGTGTGCATGGCCTTCTTGATCCAAACCAAGACGATAACCCCGCCGTCACTGAGATCAATGCCGATAGCTACGCTTGGATGTCGCTAGACGCTTGGATGAGTCAAAACTGTATCGCAGGTTCGGATACTAACAACTGGGCATCCTTTTTCACTCAGAACCCACCGCCGTACAACGAGTGAGCTTTGTGACGTTGTCAAGTGGAGCTTCATTTGAGGAATAGTTGATAGTGATGGCGAGTCGATAGCGTGGGTAGATTGAATAGAGGCAACATTTGCAATTCATGATTTCGTGTCATACTCATCCTTCTCAGCGGTCTCCCCCCACTCTCTTCTTCCCTTCTCCTCTGTCATGAGATGCCTCAGGGATACTCATAGGGCCACTAGCGTAGGCTTGGCACCGCACATACTCCTCTTTGCAAAACCATTTGCGGGAGCGCCCGTGTGGCAGCCACCCCACCAAATTTTCGCCGTGACCACTAGCGATGTGATATTACATGCAAAGCAAAAGCCTTACAGTAATTACCGTATATTAGGCCTCTAGAGTATTATAGCATATAATTCGTATAATACGCTTAATAATCTAAATGTAGGCCTTCTAATTAGCCAAATCCATAGTCTTAGCAATATCTTACGGAGAAAATTCTTTAAAACCTACTATTTCTTTATTAATTAATCTCTTATTAAGTATATCTTCTATTAGAATATATAGCTAAAGAGATTATACGGTCTAAAGAGTCTTTATCGAGATATCTATCTCTATAAAAGCTAAAGAGCGAATTAATAGCTATAAATACTACTTTAAATATAAGAATCTTACTATTAATATAACACGAATAAAGAAGTATTTAAAGTCTTATCTTCTCTATCTCGAGAATTCTACTAATTAAGATATATATATTATTATTTAATAGAAGTAGAATAATACTATTATTAAAGAAGAGAAGAAACTTTATATATTATTCTTTAGAATTAGATAATCGAAAATCGCTAGATATAGTATATTATTCTCTAAAGAAAAATAAAGACTTTATAAGCTAGCTATATTAGCTTTATATATAAGAGATAGATTATTAAATATTTACAACGAGTTTTATATAAATATCTTTATTATATATCTTAATTCGATATATAAAATACTAGATAGAAAGGCCTTTTCGAAGTAGCTTCTAAACTATATATATGAGAATCTAAAGAAGCTTATAGTATAGCATCTTAACGAAAGCGATTAATTAAACTTCGTTATTAACGACTCTTTTAATATTAATTATAATCGTATAACGAATCTTTCGATATAAATTAAGTTAAGACCTCTATATTTAAAGTCTTTAGATATATCGACTCTACGTTATAATAGCTTAAAGTTAGTCTAATATAGTCTTAGTAATTTAGACTTATAGCTAGTCGAGATATCTATAACTAGTTCTATACTCGTATCTCGCTTCGAGAGCCAATTATATCGCAAGCTTATTACGATATACCCCTTTCTTAGAGTCTAAGTAGAAAATCCTCGAATCGCTATATTAATCGTTAATTTATATAAGTCTATCGTAATAATTACCCCGTTAATAGAAAATCGCGATTTTCTCTAATTTTTCAGTTATTACTATATAGTCTTTTAATATTAATTAAAATAGTAATAAACCTTTCGAGGTCTTTAAATAAGTATATAAACTTTTTATTATAATCGAATAGCTCGTTATTATTATATAAGCTTATTTAAATACGCGTTTTTCGCTAATAATTATAATATTTATCTTTAATTAATTACTCTTTAATAATTAAATTTTAAATAATAGTATATCGTATTTAATATTATTAAAAGATTATATAACGAGTCGAGTATAATAATTAAATTATAAGTTTAATCGTATTATTATCTAATAGAAATCGAGTATTAAAGCTATTTCCTCTATATATATATTTATTAACTTAAAAATATATTACTTAGAAGTTAAAGAGAGTATAAAATATATATCTTAAATAATTTTAACGCGCTTAACGCGTTTAAAATAGATTTTAATAGATAAGAAGACTATAAGAAACGCTTAGATACGCGATTTTCTCTCCGACGACGATAGCGAGATATTTTCGAACTATATATATTAACCTCTTTATAGCTTATAAATATATCCTTTCTTCTAACGAATACGAAGTTTTAAGATATTTAGCGAACCAGTTCTAGAGTAAAGAAAAAAAGTTATATTTAATTTTCGAATATAAAAGTAGAGAGATAACCTCTATAACGACGACGTAGACCTTTCTATATTTAAAGACGTCTTTTTCTATATTTTATATATCTATAAGAGACTTCGACGTTATACGAGATATTCTTATTTATCGATATCGCCGCTATTAATATCTAACTTTATATTAAAAGAATAAATTATCTCCGCTTCGCTCTCCGCTCTACTCTCCGTAAGTTCGATAACTATATAATTACTTACATGTATATATACTTACTTACTTATTTACCTAGTCGTTTAAAAAATAAGAGAAGACTACGACGTTTAATTAAAGTAATAAATTAACTAACGAGGCTACGGTATTTTCCCTAATACGTTATACTATCGATCCGGCGAGTATTATAGCGATTATCTCGATAATATATACTTTAAGAGAATTATTCCTATATAGTATCTACGCGTTTATTAAGATATATAGTATTTTTAAATACTAGTATCGCTACTATAGCTAAGTTAGCTAAGTTTTTTAATAAAATAAAATTAAAAATCTACTTCTTAATTACTATACTATAGCTTCTAATTTAACGAGAGCCTATTTAACTATTTATTCGACTTTTTTTAAGAATTCTAAAAAAGGCCATATCACGTAGTTACGTATTTTTATTAAGAATTATATATACGTAGAGTATAAATATTACATATCGAGTAATATATTAAAAAAATAAGTCTTAGTAGGATTTTCTACTTAGACTTATCTTAAGGTCGATAAGATTAAGCTAAGACTAAGTCTAGTATATATATAAAAGAGTAGAGTTCTAGATAAATAATTATATTTCACGTATTAATTCGCTTACTATAGATACGGAGATTAAAATACGTACTATATAAATCGAGTTACGAAAAATATCTAGTTAAGAGTATTATTTATTTATTTCATATAATAGCCATAATATTCAGCTATTAATACGTTATATTTCGAAGCTACTATAGTTTAAAACGATCTTTAAAAACACTTAATTAATTATAATATACTTTTAAAAGACTAATAAAATGCTAGTAGTGCTTCGTAACTGCATAATTAAGGAAGGTGAACGTATTTACGCTCTTATACTCTTATATATTATACGATAAGATACTTATTATCGCTTAATTATCTCCCTTCTACGTAGTAAAGTAGCTCTTCGTTATTATATATTAAATAATCGTAAAGATAAAACGATAAGCGCTTAAAATATTAATAAGCTATTAAAAGATTCTCTCTTTTAAGTATAGCTAAAGGATTTAAAAGAGATCTTTAGCGTTATATATAAATAACAAGTTATATCAAAATTAGAAGATATATATTTAGACTATATTTTAAAGAGATAAAGAATTATTAAATCTTATCTTCGACGTCTATAAAATTACTCTTTCTTTTATTAGACTTTTAATATAAATTAGATCTTTAAGCCCTATAAAAATAAGGATAATAAGAATTCTATATAGCTATCGACTATCTTTTAGACTCAGTTTAAGAAGTAAGTGCTATTAATTTATTTTACGATATTTCATCTAAATCTAGTTTATATTAAGAAGAGATTAATTAATAAAAAGTAAAATTACGTACTTAACTTTCTTAATACTTATATTTTTAATACTAATGCTTAGTAAGCGTCTATTTATAAGACTTTCTATAAATTTAAATATCGTCGAGATATATTTATAGCTAACGCACTATACTAAAAAGATAAAAATAATTTTAATTTATTCTAGTCTCGTGCATTGACCATAGTATTAAGACTCGCTACTTTAATTTTAAGACTCTTTAGAATCTTAGCTAATTTAGTAGCCTTAGAACGAGTCTTTTTTATTTAAAATCTTCTTTATAATAAGCTTCGTAATTATACTCTTTCTAAACGAATAAATAAGCTTTAATTTATTTATATTAATACTCGGGTTCTTCGTTATAAATACACTATAAGAACGAAGACTAAAGAATCTTTAAATAAGAAGTAAGACGTTATATCTATAGAAGAATCATGGCTGATTTTAAATAAGAATATAGAGTTAAATGTAAAGGAGGAGTATCTATCTATATCGAAGTCTACGAATATATTAATTAATAATAATAATATAAAGTCTAATTACGAGATAGACGCGTTATTAAAAGCTCCTATAGCTCTTATAGCTTTTATATATACCTCGAATTTATATAGCCTCATTTCTTAACTCATAAGAGTACCCTTAATAGGACTAGATTATACGAAAATAATATCTCTTAATAGATAAATTTTAAGCTAAATATTAAGTATCTACTAGTACTCTACTAGCGTAATCGTTAGACTTATATATCTTATAGTAATTATACTTATAATTACTATAAAGTATAATTATTATAAAACTTTTAATTATATCGCTAATAATTATTATTAAATATACGTAGAAGCTAAATTCGTAGTAGATAGCTATAGATTAGCTATATTTTAGACCTTTATAATTACGCTATCGCTATCGCTATATTATTATAATACTCTTCTAATATTACTAATAGTACTTTATTTAATACTTTTAATATTACTCTTCGTAATACTCTTAGTAATACTCTATCTAGTAATTTTAATAGTAGTACTCTATCTAGTAATTCTAATAATACTTCTAATAATACTCTATTTAATACTCTTAGTAATAGTATTATCTTAATAAAATTACTAAATTTTATATAATAATTAATACTTTAATAAGATTATCGATCTTTATATTCTTCGTAAATATATATTTATATCTTAGTATTTAATTAACTATTAATTCGTATATAAGATAATAGCTAATATTAATATAACGTAATCTCTTATAATTTATAAGATTCTTTATTAAATCGATAGCTTTTTTATTATTATATTATATTATAGACGATTTATCTAATTATTATTTAAGCTTTAATAGAATATAATATATTTATATTATATTCTAAGTAATATTAGAAGTAGCTATATATTTAATTTTATATATAAATTATAC